AAAGGCTGGCTACACCCGTGAGATAGAACGAAACGCGTGTCAACTTGTCCGCGTCCGTCCATCTGTTTAAAGCGCTCACCCGTTCGAAAGTCGAGAGCCACTCTTCAACGTCGTTGTCATCTGTTCCACTGAAGATTGGAGGCTCCCGCTGAGGAACACTGCCTGGAACAGGTGGCCGGAAGAGATGGAAGCGTCTGCTGATCGGCGTCCGGCATAGCAGAAGGTAGCCGTCGAGAACGGAGTTCCAGGATGGTAGCGGGAAGGTGTAAGGGACGGTACCCGGCACGTCTCCACCAATTATAAAGGAGATTTATTAAGCAGAAAGGTTGGTGCTTGGAAGGCTTGGAAGGCGATGCACCAGCCGCAATTTCCGAGCTCGAGCCGCTGCTGCCACTGCTGCACACTCGATGCTGCTGCCTCTGCGCCGGAGTACTTCCTCTTCTTTACAATATATATATATATATATATATATATATATATATATATATATATATATATATATATATATATATATATATATATATATATATATATATATATCTATATATATATATATATATATATATATATATATATATATATATATATATATATATATATATATATATATATATATATATATATATATATATATATATATATATATATATTGCCATGCCAACGGTGAGTTCATCTCCGGCTTTTGCGTTCCTGTAGTTTGATATCGTCTGATATCGTCCGCAAAACACAAGTATACAGCTCTCATATTCTTTGTTAACCCCTATTCCTATTTTTTTCACGTTCTACGTTTGAAATATTTATTGTCAATGTGCCATGAATTACATTGAGGATATTGCAACTCTTCCCCCTGAACCCATTCTTGATCATGTTTCCGTGCTCTTCTTGAGTAATTCAGTGGCTGCAGTATTGTTTTAGATGATGAATATGGTCTCTACAAATTTTTAGGTGTTTATTTACGACATTATACATCTGGAACTGCATGAACGTAGCCATACATGTGAATAATTTTTATTATTACTTTGCAAATATGTTGCTCCTTGATTACCTATACGCATGCGTAATTGATGCAGCAGGCCTTTCATGCTTTTAGTTGCGTAGAAACAATATTGACTTTGATTGATTTGTGGCGCTTACCGTCCCAAAACCACCATATGATTATGAGAGACGCGGTAGTGGAGGGCTTCAGATATTTCGACCACCTGGAGTTCTTTAACGTGCACCCAAATCTAAGTACACGGGCCCGCAACATTTCCACCTCCATCGGAAATGCAGCTGCCACAGCCGGGATATGATCCCGCGACCTGCGGGTCAGCAGCCGAGTACCTTAACCACTAGACCACCGTGGCGGGGCCAATATTCACTTTTATTCTCGGCCTCGTACAGGACTGAATGTACGCTAAGATCACAGTGGAGTAGTCGTTGTGATTACGAACATCTTCCGAATACGGCGCCAGCGGTATAGTCGATGAATACCGTTGAACCACTCATAGCTTTCTTGGAGCTACCGACAATGTGGCACACAGCAATTTCTCTTTATAATACGTGTGTCAGCTTTTTAAATTAAGTTGCTGTAAACACCGAGCAATTACCGCCGCTGTACCCATCTAAACTGGCTACATCCAGGACAGAACGCTTCAGTATTACCTTATTTCATGGTAACCAACCACAATAATGGTTGTAAGCTGTCATGCATTAGCGGCCCCCGACGTCCGACGTCGGCGAGGTCAATAAAACGCCAGCGGGGGTCAGTTTGACAGCTATCCGTAATCGGCCAAACGGCGGAAAGCCCTCGTAGGCCGTACGCTGACTAACCCTCATCGACCCAATGCCGGCTAGCCGGTACGGGACCAATGTGAGTCAAAGTAGCGCGAGCGTGATTTACCGACATGTGACCAATATACTTGCCCACGTTAACCGACGTTGGACCGAGATCGGTTCAATTCCGGCGGGCTGCCTGGGGTACGCGATATCGGCTTCGAGGCGACGACAAGTCTGAAGTGGCCCTAGCTTTTGTTACGGAGCACGACGCGATAATTCGGACAGGAAGTTTGTTCCATTGGCGGCAGTACGATAATGCGACGCTCAGCCATTCACCTCGGCCGGATGTGCAATCGGTGTAAGAACTAAACGCGTATGTGAATAGTAATAAAAAGGTGATTCCTTGTGGACCGCAGGCCTCACTGCTTTCATGCACGTGTTAGGTCAGCGTGTACGACTAGAACGGAGCCATAATTTAAAAAAAAATACCAATGTGTACAGTGCAATATCGGAAACCCTGTTACGTGATTGTTAGACACAATTCAAGGACAATTCCACAGAACTTAGCACAAAGGTAGTATGGAGAGGGGGACTACTGGGCTGCATGCGAGAATGCTCACGAGAAAAAAAAGTGTTTCAGAATAAATATTGCTTGTTCAGATATATCTTCATGTCTACTGCAGCGTTTTACAGCGTAACATGAAGATAAACGCACCGCACGCATACAATCACGTGGGTGAAAATAGTGTTCGCCGTCTCTCTTTTTCTCCAGTTTTCCCAGTGCTGGGTAGTCCACGTGGTTAAATGGTTATCTTCTATCTCTCTATTTAGAAGGCGGATAATCCACAGCATAAAGCGTTTTAAGATAGCAACATACTAGGTGCATTAACGGATAAGTTAATGATATGTGGGGTTTAACGTCCCAGAAGCACCATATCTTTATGAGAGACGCCGCAGTGGAGGACTCCAGAAAGTTCGACCACGTGAGGTTCTTTACGTGCACCCGATTCTGAGCAAACGGGCCTACAGCATTTTCGACTCCATCGAAAATGCAACCGCCGCAGCAGGAAGTTCATCCCGTGACCTGCGGGTCAGCAGCCGAGTACCTTAGCCACTAGATCACCGTGGCGGGGCTACAGATAACATAAATTATTTGGTTTGATTTAACTAGAAGACAAGCGAGGCACACAAGACACCTATACATCACGCTTATGCACCCCCCCCCCTTTTTTTTTGCACTACAGAAATATTCAACATTAAGCCCACACTGCAAAATTATTTGGTTGATGTTCTTCCTGAATAGTGCCGCATGTTCTCAAGAAAAGTGAAAAGACAGAGAAATCGCAGGACAGTGTCCGTTGCCATGTCTTCTAGTATATGGTTGATATCCTGCCCCCCCCCCCCCCCAGTCCCGCCTAATAGGCAAACAAAATATATATGTTTGCCTATTACTTGATGATGATTATTTATTTATTTTCGTTGCCTTTCTTTCCGCCCTCATCCTACTCAGGTCTGCAGCCGTTGCTATTGGTAGATTTTAAAGTGTGGTGCAACTGTATTTAAAGGTGTGGTATTAAAATGTGTGACCATGCTTCTTTTTATATTTTGTCTAAATCACTGTAAATGGAGCATTATTTCTTTTTTAGAGTATCCTCTGTATTGCTATGCATATTGCTAATTGTGGTATATTTCTTGACCAAGGTCCATTTCCCCTTACGAAATACCTTACGGCGATTGACTCGATCGGTTTTGAAATTGACGTGGTAAAGGCTTTACCACCTTCGGAGTGTACCAGGGAAGCTGAGTTTCCAAACGGTCTTTACTTTCCTCCCCCTCTCCAAGTCCCAACATATGTTTTATTTATATTCATCCTGAAAAATAAAAATAAATAATGAAGTCCATATTTCCCAAGACCTCACAAGTTCGGGTCATCATGTGTGATACATTCGATACGGTGGCACTTCTTAGTTTCGCCATGATGCATTCTGTAGCTATATTAGATAATCTGAAACACTCGCGCGCTTCGACAGGGGGGCGTCCCTCAGTGACCTTGAAGACATGGAAGCAATAGTCCTCATGCAGCTGGCCAGGCGAAGTAAGGCGCGAATGTGACAGACATGATAACAGCAACGGTGCAAAAAAAAAAAAAAATGGCACATTTGGGTTTTTTCAGAGTGCATAGAGAAAAAATGCCCAACACGATGTGGGTATCGTTCAGGCAGGAATGAATGAATGAACAACACTATTTATACCTAGTTAAAGGAAAGGGGCAAAAGGACAGAGGGTAGCGAGGAAAGAGATACTTCTCAGCCCACTCCGCGAGTGATGACAAACAACGTACAGCTGTTTATTTTTTGTTGTTTTCTGTGAAGACAATGAAGCAACAGCCAAAGATCGGAATTTTCGGACATACAAACAATGGGTCATTGCCGCAGTGGAAAAATTATCGCCATGAACCGCTGCTTTGCGCATACCCGTCTCAACTATATACCCCCCCCCCCCCCCCAGGTTTCTGCAAAATGAAGGCAGCATGACTTCGGCGTCCTAGTGTGATCACCAAAAGGTTATGCAAAATAGCATCCACTTATGTGTCTAAGATATATAAAAAGTTAGTTAAATAAAATCAAGCACGTAGAAAAAGTCGTAGCTTTTTCTGTGCGTCGGCACCATTGACTCATACGCTACACCGTTTACACTTCTGATACACAACAGGGGACAACCGACGCGAACACAATCACCACAGGCCACAATGTAGCTTTCCACAACTTGTTTGCGCTCCATGTCCTCGTTTGTTAAAGGCAGTGTCGTTGTATTCTGTTTATTTTCTGTCATATACCTCGTGTCAACTTAGCGATATTTTTGTTAAAAGAAACAATTTGTGCCAACGCCAGGTTGTCACCAGGACTTTCGTTTGCCAATTGTCCGTTCTCTCTTCGGGATGTGAACAAAATTAAGTTCCAGGGAGTTCGCGATCAGTTTTGCGCACCTGTACTTTCTGTCACAAGAAATCTTCTGATTCATTAAGATATTTGCATACAAACAATGCGCTATCGCAAAAGTATTGATCATAGAATGCCGTTTATTTCACCCCAAGCAAAGCAGAGATGCTATCATGTCACCGTCCATCCAACTGCTCCATCACGCCATTAAAATCTTTCACCTTTTTAGCAGATTGAATATTATAAGCTGGCAACAACGAGCAGCAACTTCCGGCAATTTCTAAATCCGGTTGACGGTTTGCCTTTAATATTTTTATAGTTTTTTCGCGTGCAAGGTGTTTTGTTTTCGCGGCAACGTTGAGTTATCTGTTTCTCCCCTAACCACCTGTTGATTTACTAAAACCAAGTGCCTGACGATCACTTTTAAATGCTTTATTCGGAGTTGGTGCAAGCTAAAGATGACTCGGAGGAGGAAATTAACGACGTGAGTATGACGTCTGTGTGTTCTCCCCGAACTATCACTGTGGCGTGTGTCAAGGACAGCTGTATTTGCACCTGTTCGTTAGCGCAGTTGTTGGTTCCCACGAAGTGGCCTCCTTGAAGGAGCATTTCGTGTCTCGCACCGGCCACGACAGTTTCGCTTCGCAAATATGCGCAATTGATGTCGAACGGAGCTGCTGTTATCCGCCCTGTTCTCTTTACATTGCGACTTCGACGACCACAGCTGACGATGTCCACTTCGTGTCGGTTCCGCTCAGTATCTCATTCGCAGCACTTACCATATCGAAAATGCTGTCGGACAATGTGTTCAGAAAGGACGCACCCGGTTGCACATTCGGGAGCTGCCCGCTTGCTGATTATCGCACTACTCCTGTGGGCGATTTTGCGCGCGCTTATCAAACGAAAGTAGCTGGCGCTGGATAAGCTAGACACTCCCATATCGCCTTAGCGGCTCCACTCGTTTGTTCAACCACGCGCAGTGGCAACGGTGTGGATAAAAGAAGCAAAGCAGTCATCCAAGCCGCGGAAAAGTTTTCGCAGCTCTGTGTCCTATCTTGTATGCTCGCGAATCGCGCTGGAAAATACCCAGCCCCGGAAAGAGCTCGTGTAAGCGGCTTTCCAACGAGTAGCATCGTTAACCGATTCCTCTAGCAGTGTCCTAAATACAGCAGGCTATGATAGTGCATAATTTATTGTCCAACACTGCAGTACGACCTACGAAAGGGTGATTTGCAGGTCAGTCAAGTTGACGTCTCGGTCAAGTTCGCCTGATGAACGAATTTATAAGGCATAGACGTTTCGCCAGTTACGACCGACATTCTTTATTTTCACTAACGGGCTAAACACTTTGTAAGCACCCTTATGTGCTGACTGCAGCGTTTGCCGCAAAGCTCTCGATTTCAGCGGCGAAAGCGATCGTTCCTTTTTTCTTTTTGTTAATTAGTACTTGCACGCTCTCTCCTGCCAGTTGTTGGCGCCCCTTGCGCGAAGCCCGGTGTCTGTGACTCACGCGTCGTACACGCTTTCATATCGCGCAATGAACAAATGTAAAGAAAACACGTGGTCGAAAAGGCACGACCAAGATGCCGCGACGCGCGTGCCGGCTTCAAACGGGCGAGGCTGAGGAGGAGAGAAAAGATATTGCCGCGCTATCACGTGACGCGGTTTCGACGTAACCCTGCTGGCGGCTGGGGCGGCTGCGTTGCGCGACTCGAAACCGCAGTCGCGGGCTTGTGATCGCGTTGTCATGGAGGTGAACGGAGACGGCAAACGGGACGAGCGGACCGTCAGTGACATTTTTCTGAGGCTCAGCGATGTTAGCCGCAACACGTCCGTGAGTGTTCCCAAACTACCTGCTGGAACTTAAAGCTCCCATTTTTTTCGAAGCTCATTCAATAGTAGTGCCAAAGCTCGGACTGGCAGGAGAGTTAATTAACCTGATGCATCCTTTGCGCGGCTTTATTTTGTTGAAAAGGAAAACCCGACATTGAGATATCCATGTGAATCACATTCAGATTCTGCAGTAACCGTTTAGAGTTAGCACTTGTGTCAATCACAGTCAAATATGTCACTATTTAACTACATAATCCTCGGTAGACCTTGGTACTCCTGCTCATTTCCGTTATGCTAGTTTTCTGCAAGTTGACACGTTCTGCCAACTTTGCTATCGTTGGCACACATACAACTTAAGGACTTCAAAAGTTTGCAAGCAACCACTGTGTTAAATATCGCATGCTTGGCACTGAGGATAGCGGGGTGTGATCAAAGGAAAGAATTGTTTATTTAAAATACATGTATATGAATTCTATCTCATGAAGCTGCCCATATCAGTTTTCAAATGAAAAAGGCATGTCTGTGTTGGACCACTAATGCCTGAACCAGAGATGTCACGGCATTTTTTGGGGCTTCCATTTTAATTTGACCTCAGAACTCTACCACGCTTCTTGTATGTAAAACCGACGCCTGGATTTCATAAAGGTTGTGACAGCACATTCATGAATTTAGATTCATGTATGATAGCATATTAATTGTGTGATCACATTATGGTGTGATCATGAACGAATGTTAGAGTGACAAAAACGGGGCCGGGAAAGAAAAGACAAGCTGCAGCACTGACTCTCAACTGAAATACAGTTGGGCCACCACATGCTTCAAAATGGGGGGTTTTTGTCATGCTAATATTCATTCAAGATGGAAGCAGACCAACTCGTCCGATTGTCCCTTCTGATGGTGTGAGAAATGATGGTACATTCAAATTTGTATTGAAGCCATGTGTGAAATTCAGTCTTGATTGCTTGGAATAAATACTATAATGTCATGAAACACAGCCGCATCTGCATATATACTGCTTGGGTAATAAGACCACTGCTCTGATAGCTCATAAAGAAAAAAAAAGAAGGAAATGAGAATGCTACAGATTTTTTATTACGGTGTTTGGTTTCTGGCAGCCTAGTTACTGCAGAAACGTAGCAAAGCACCATATCATGACATCAAATATGTATACCTCCTGCACACTTGAGCCTCTTCATTTAAGCAAGTATGGTTGTGAATTGATTACTCTTGCCAGTTTGCTTTTGTATGTAAAAAAACAAAGGAAACAACCGCTTCACTTCCGAACGGATGCCCAGACTGTTTGCACCTGTGGGAGAGATACAGCCTAATGGAAAAGATAAGGGGTGAACAAAGTTGCAATGAAATCGGCACAAAGAAAGGGGAGACGCTAGTGAAAATTGTACATAACTGTGGATGCTTAGCTATGAGTATTTGCTCTGTTAGTTTACAAGTAGGCTTTTAATATACTTTTGTATGTACTAATTCCAAAGAGACCCGGTACCATCTTAGATAATATCAAAGCCAGGTAAAATGCACTTTCTGATTCTTTCTCTGCTGATGAGGTTCTATAGGGCAGTGCTCCTTACTTTTGGGTTTAGCACACGCACTTTGTTTTGGGAGGCTTGTAATGCCTTTGATACACAGTGAGTTCAGAAAACGCCCGGTGTCACAAGGCAAAATGTTGCCCAGAAATGCCGCTGTCTTAATCTATTTTGCTATCCCCTCGTTTTGAAGTATATGTGGTGGCTGCTGACCAATTTAATAGCGCTTTCAGTGGCTGTGCCTTATGACATTCAAGTTGATAATTTTTTCCGGTGAAACTTGTGAGAGGGACAAACCATATTCTTTTCCATTTAAACAAAATGTTCTTGTCAGTGTAACCTTAATTTTTTTACCATTTTAGTACATATCCTGCTTGTAGGGGGTGCAGCACGTGTGTGTTTTTGTGTGCTTTGTTTAAACATTTGCATAAATGATTGTTATATCATGCTGCATCCTAGAATGTACTAGGTGTTTCTGCCACAATTCAGGCCTTATAAGCAGGGGAGGAAAGGTCAAAATAGCAAAATTTACTGAGAGCATTCATGTATTTAATGTAGAAGAGGCAGTTTATTTTCGCTCATATTTGAATATTATTGAATGAAAGAAAGACTGAAGAAAAATATGATGCATGTCACTTCCATTTTCCTTACATGTATTTACATAAGAAATAAAAAAATCTTTAAATGCATTACACTTCCTGCTTGTAAACCAGATTTCTACTGTCAAAGCTGTGCTTTGTTTCTTTTATATAGTTGCTCTTATAGTATGTTTTATACTTATAAGAGGAGACAGACAGATGAATATTCATTGTAACTGAGGAACAGTTGTCTGGCCATCGGCAGCCTTGGCTGTCTGTGATTGATAGACAGTGTTCGTTTCTTTGAATCCTCATTGTTTTATTCTTATCATTAAAAGCTGCTCTGGAGGAAGGGTGCTTTTTCCTTCATTCACGGTAAACAGTACACAAGCATCGGATATCAAATATTTGTTAATTGACTTTTGCTTTGTAAAAGCAGTCAATAGCTTGTAACACATTGCCTAGCATATCTTTCTAATGACTGCGGATCTCTGAGCAGGTGCTTTATGACTGCTCTCTTTCGGTAATAAAAAAAAATGGTTCATTTTTAAAACAACCTGTTTATTGCGATTCAGCTGCCATCTAAGGCCCAGCTCATGACCGAGCGTAAATTCATAAACAACAATTGTAATAATAGTAGAAGGTTTTACTGAGAAAGACAACCCATCCCTGCATGGTGAACGTGTTGGTTATTATCGAGAACTGCACATGTGCAGCTGCACCCAAAGGCATCGTAAATTTTAAAGGGCTCTGTCACACAAGCTGGTGCATTGCTCAGTGTGTTTGTGATTCTGACGTAGTGTCACTCTCTTCTTCTTTTGATTAAGTATTGAGGTCGCACGAAAAAGCACTTCATTTTTTCTGGGAAACTCGCTGAGCAACCATGATTACACCATTGGCATTTCGTGTTCTCTCAATGTTATAATTCTTTTCTAGATGTATTTTGTACCATCATTGAATCTGTAGTTTATAAGTTACCTCCAATATGAGTGAGCCAGTGACATCTCGTTTGTGAAAGTTTCAAGCAGTTGCCCCTTGCCCTGAATTTTTTTATATACTAGTATCAGTTGTTGGGATTGTGCTCTGCTTGGAAAAGCAGCTTTGCATCACTGAGACAGACCGTTTGAGAAAGTGTCTACACGTGGGGCTGTGTGTACATTTTGCTGTAATGACAAAGCGTTAAGCTTAGACATACTTTTTTGAGGAATATCTCCATAGTAATTTACTCATGTACATTTCAAAGAAAACGTTACAGTTGGAAAAAGCAAGGTTATTATTGAAGTATCTAAAAACACTAAATTTTACAACTGTTCAACCAAAGTACTAAAGCTACTTTAAAATTACTTACTGCCAAGCAACAAATATTATTGAGTTTGCCACCTATCTGTGTTTGGGCACCGCTTCTTTTATTGAACTCCACATTCAATACTGACTGTTGTAGGACATTTGCTTGCATATAAGATGCTTAAAGCTACAGTAGAAAAGTTTATTTTGGCTCATTTTATTGTGTAGCTAAAAGCTGTTCTTGTGCACTCCAACAGTTTACTTTTGACAAATGTTTGTACTGGCATGTCCTGGAGATTTTCAAATTCTTGTTTTCAACTGAAGAGGACTGACTTCCGAAACACTGCAGGTGGCTTTGTGGTATAAAGCATTGGAGCTGAATTGTCAGTGAGCGATTGAAAGCTTTGTGAAATAAGCCTTTTTTCAGCATTATTTTTCCACTCTCTTAAACGCTTATCGGTTTATCGGATGTACACGTTTGTTTCAATGGTACCACTTTGTTACTGTAGTGTTATTGGTGATGCTAATTGCACATGTCCCGGTCTTGCAGGGGATGCCATCTGGCCGCTCTGATGGAGATAAAGAGAGTGAAACGAGTCCACTCTGTCCAGATCGACAGCAAGATGTGGAAGGAGCCTCCTCTGCGACATCGGCCACAGATCAGGAACTAACCACGTATGCGCATGTCATAATAATAATTATTGTTTAGGCGCGAAATAATATTCTCCACACAGGGCAAACAGTACCGCACAAAATTTACTGAAGTTGTTTCTCTTACCATATGAACTTACTATCATCTTTACTAATAGCAGCCCACTGAAAGGTGCCATTGCCACATAAACCTTCTCATTTCATACCGATTGTAATGTTGTTGCATTCTTTAGAATTAATGGATTTGGTTTAGTTGTGAAAATTTTCTATTGAAGTCTTGATATGAGGAAGGAGTTAGGCCTGTTGGAAAAGTGGAATTTGGGTACAGTGAGATTTTTCACAGGCAGTAGCCTCCCAGGTTAGTGAATGCACGTTGCAATAGAAAGCAGTTTGGACAATTCTTACAAGTGAGGTACCCTACCCAACCAAAATAACGATCTAGGTGCAATTTGAGGGACTAGTGCCACTTTAAACTCTGTATGCGCTGCATTTTAAAGTATATTCTGGTGATTTGCTCATCACCAGCATTTTTTTCTGTAATCTGTCATAGCAATTAGTACGGGTCCACTGTGTTGTAGAGACGAGGATACATGACGGTCTGCCATGGTGGTGCGGCGGTTATGGGGCTCGTCTGCAGACCTGAAGGTAGGGGGGTCTGATCCAACCGATGGAGGCAGAATGATAGAGTCCGATGTACTGTACGATGTCAGTTCATGTTAAATGAAACTAGGTGAACTATAGAGGGTCAAAATTTTTGGAGCTCTAAACTACGGTGTCTCTCATAATAATATTGTGGTTTTGGAGAAATGCAATGTGTTTAAGTACCAAAGCGACAAGCCAAGCGGGCACACTATTGCATTCTGCTCATATGCGCGGCCGGAGTCAGTGCGGCACTGCCGGCACAAGTGCTGTGTGCGTACATCTTCGTGTTCCTGCTGAGCTCTTGTGCGTTAGTAAGACACTGTGGCGCATCTACTGAGCAAATAGTGCATGTCAGGTTGAATCTGCATTGTTCTTCCTTTGGGAGCAGACGAACACTGGCTGCTCGCTTCTGTTTGATCTTGTGTACCTTGGAGTTGTAGGCCTGTATGCCATTTGACAGAACTCCGCACTCCACCAGTGTTCTTGGAAACCTGTTCAGCGCTGAACCTTGCCATTGCTTTCATTGCTTCTCAGCCATCTGTCAAAACTATTTATTTTATGATTTAGGAATAAATTGGGCATGTATACTCCCGTGGCTTAAATTGTAGGCAGGCAGTGGCAAATAATAATTTGGTTGAAAGTGTTGAAGGTCACCTGCTTGCTTTGTTTCTTTCGCAGCAACTGCCAAACAATGATGCACTTGCTCAAGGGGAACATTGGTACAGGTGTACTGGCCATGCCTAGTGCCTTGGCAAATGCTGGAGTCCTTGTGAGTTGCTTTTCAGACTCTCAGTTTTCATTGATTGCTTCAAAAATAGTTGTACCTGTAGTGCATATGATCTTGTACAAGCTGTTCATCTCGTCTGGTGCATACAATTTCAAGTGGTTTCTGTGCTGTTAAAGAAGAGTCTTGGGCTTGATTCTAGTCAGAGGATATGTTTATTCATTACAAGGAGTTGGCTTTTAGGAGCCACTTTCATTGCATGGTTAGACAGAGTAGTGAATGTGAAAGTAGAACAGCTAAACATTAGATATGTCGTCTGTAAATGTTCTTGTCAATCTTGTCATTAAATGATTATATTGACAAGCTCAAGCAGCTGGTAAACCACATTCGCGTAGCTAGATTGAAAGTTTATTGAATGTCGATGTAGCGTGCTGCTATTATCAATTAATTAGTATCTGTCAGTCTACAATTTCGTTCTTTAAATCAAATATAGAGAGAGACAAACAAAGGAAAACCAGAGAGGTTAACGAGAATTGGAACTTCAAAGTTGTGCTGAATATTAAAAGAAATGCTTTTGGCCACATGTTGCATGGTCAGGGCAGATGTGAAATACCTGTCATTGAGAACAGCGAGAGAATGTGAGAGCTAGGCTAGAACCGACTTTGCCCTGTGTATAGCTAACTTTATGCTTTCGAGCAGCTTGACTAGTAGCTATACCATTCTTCAGCACATGATACGCAACTTTGGCTGCAGTTACAGAGATGAAAGTTTTTTTTTCAGCTGAAGCATAGAAAACTAGTGTTAAAAGCAAAAAATTATATATCGGCCCTTTCAACCCGACAAACTAGGCACAGTCATGCTGAATGCCTTACCCCGTTCTGCACCAAAACTAATGCTTCCAAATTTTCATTTTTTTTACACACGATAATTGAGTGGAACACTCTCCAATCGATATGGCTACATAGCGCTGAGCTCATAGAACAAATGGTTAAATGGGCCATGATTGTGTCCTATTTTTTATTTTCATGATTTTTTGTGTACTTTGTTGTGCATAAGCGATCAATTTTTTTTTTCTGTGGTATATTTAGAGCTGTAGTACTTTGTGTTGGCAGTTTATTGCTTATAGGCACAGAACACACTGTTGTAGCTGTTCAACTTGTCAGTCATTTTTCTTTTTGTACTTCTATATTTTTTATTTTTGTTGCTACATATTGTCACGTTGCTCCAGGGGGTGTCGACAAGGTTTATCGATGTCTGAGAAACGGGGAACTAACCAAGCGTGTTGGTTTGGCTTGTTTGCCAGAGCGGGGTCCACGTGCACTTCTTTCTTCTCTGTGGTGTGAGCCTTCACCTCAGCATACGACCCACTACTAGAAGTAGGTGGCAATACTCCTCCTCAACAAAAAAAGAGCATCTGTCCAGATGCTGTAAAGTTATTGAAAAAAAACCCCAAAACAAAGTAGGTTAAACAATGAAAAAGGGCACCAATAATCAAATGTTAGACCCGATAAGTTCACCAATGATGAGGCAATTGTCGGAGCACAAATAAAAAAAAAACACAGGAAAAGTGGTCTTTTTGGAACGCGCAAAATAGGGCTTCATGCGCACCACGTGAACTATGTCGGAGGTCGGTTGTTTTCGTTGTACCCATCGTGACGACGTAGCGTCCGGAACCACTTCGTAGTTTACGTTGCTCAAGCGGCGTAATACTTTATACGGTCCGAAGTATCTGCTGAGCAACTTTTCGGAGAGGCCACGGCGTCGAACAGGGGTCCAAACCCAAACTTGGTCTCTTGGACTGTAAGATACGTCATTGTGACGCATATTGTAACGTCGTGCATCGACCTGTTGCTGCTGACCAATTTGTAGCCGGGTGAGCTGGCGAGTTTCCTCGGCACGCTCTGCAAATTCTTCTGCGTCAGTTGTTAATTGATCGGCGCCTTCACAAGGAAGCATCGCATCCAGCATCGTCTGAACTTCGCGGCCGTAGAGAAGGCGAAACGGTGTAAATCGGGTTGTTTCTTGAACGGCGGTGTTGTAAGCGAACGTCACATAAGGCAAAATGCGAACCCATGTTTTGTATTGGACGTCGATGTACATGGAGATCTTGTTTGTGACTGTCTTATTTAGTCGCTCAGTTAAGCCGTTGCTCTGCGAATGGTAAGCAGTCGTCGTTCGATGCCTAGTGTTACTTAGTCGAAAAACTTCATCAATAAGCTGTGCAGTGAACGCTGTTCCTCTGTCGGTTATCACTGTAGATGGAGCACCGTGGCGCAGAACAATGTGGCACATGAAGAACTGTGCTACCTCAGAAGCCCTGGCTCGTGGTATCGCCTGTGTCTCAGCATAGCGGGTCAGATAGTCAGTTGCAACAATAACCCATTTGTTGCCGTCGGACGATAAAGGAAATGGGCCGAGAATGTCCATGCCGATTTGGTCAAATGGCTTGTGGGGTGGATCAATTGGCTGAAGTAATCCAGCCGGCTTGCTTGGTGGCAACTTTCGACGCTGGCATTCACGACAGCTTTTAACGTACTGCTTCACGCTTGCCGAAAGTCCGGGCCAGTAGTACGCCTCACTTACTCTGGCGAGCGTTCACGAGTAACATAGATGACCAGATGTGGGCTCGTCATGACACGCGGAGAGGACTTTGTCCCGCATGTCCTTCGGAACGACGAGGAGGTAAGCGCGGCTCGTAGAACGGTCTTTTTTTTGTACAGGACATTATCTCGGAGGTAGAAAGACGTCACGACGCGAGATAGATGGCGAGGTATAATGGCGCTATGACCCTCCAGATAGTCAATGAGCGGTCGAATCTCTTCATCCTCTCGCTGGCGTCTGCTCAAGTCAGATGAGCTAAGGGCGCCCAGGAAACAGTCATCGTCCTCTTCTTCTTGATTGACTAAAGGTATGGGTGCACGGGACAGCGTATCAGCGTCTTCATGCTTCCGTCCAGACTTATATACGATGGTAACATCAAATTCCTGTAGACGCAAGCTCCATCGGGCCAGTCGTCCAGAGGGATCACGAATGTTTACCAACCAGCAGAGGGCATGGTGGTCCGTCACCACTTTAAATAAACAACCATAGAGGTACGGGCGAAACTTGGTGATCGCCCACACTACTGCGAGACACTCTTTCTCTGTGGTCGTGTAATTCACCTCGGTACGGGACAGTGAGCGGCTGGCATAGGCTATGACTCGTTCTTTGCCGTGTTGATGCTCGACGAGCACTGCGCCGAGGCTGATGTTACTGGCGTCAGTGTGCACCTCTGTGTCAGCATCATCGTCAAAATGCGCAAGAACAGGGGCTGACTGCATCCGCTGCCGTAGCTCGGCAAAAGCAGCCTGTTGTTCGGTAGCCCATACAAACGGTGTGTCGTCGCGTGTAAGGCGAGTCAAGGGTTCCGCTATCTTCGAAAACCCTCTAATAAATCGTCGATAGTAGGCGCACAAGCCCAGAAAGCGCCGAACAGTCTTTTTGTCTGTAGGATGCGGAAACGCGGTGACAGCGACAAGTTTGTCGGGGTCGGGTCGGACTCCTTTCGCGTTGACTACGTGGCCAAGGAATTTGAGCTCTTCATAACCAAAGTGACACTTCTGCGGTTTGAGTGTAATATATGCTGATTGAATAGCTTGTAGCACACTCCTGAGGCGATGAAGATGTTGCTGGAAGGTTTAAAAAAAAACGACATCATCAAGGTATACGAGACAAGTTTGCCACTTCAGACCAGTAAGCACAGTGTCCATCATTTGCTGGAAGGTTTCGGGCGCTGAGCACAAACCAAAAGGAAGGACTCGAAATTCATACAGGCCATCAGAGGTAACAAAGGCTGTTTTCTCGCGGTCTCGCTCGTCAACCTCAATATGCCAGTACCCGCTTTTTAAATCCAAAGAGGAAAAATAGTGGGCGCGGCGTAATCTCTCTAACGAGTCGTCGATGCGTGGCAGCGGGTACACATCCTTTTTAGTCACGCTGTTCAGCTTCTGGTAATCGACGCAAAAACGTAGCGTTCCGTCTTTCTTCTTGACTAGGACGACCGGCGAGGACCACGCACTGTTGGAAGGCCCCATGATGCCATCGTCAAGCATTTCTCGAACTTGCGTACGAATGGCTTCTCGTTCCTTCGCTGACACGCGGTAAGGCTGTTGGTGTACTGGGCGGGCGTCGTCGTAAGTGATGATTCTGTGCCTAGTGATCGAAGTCTGGCGCACCTTAGAGGAAGCAGCGAAGCATGACTTGAATTCAAGCAAGAGTTTTCGCAGTGCTGTCTGTGGTTTTCTGGTGTGAGGTTAGAATTAATATCTATATTGTTTACAGACGTATCGGCGGCCTCCACTGCGTCCGACGAGAAGCAGATGGAAAGGTTCCTAATTCATCTGCAAACGCTAACGAAGTGCCACGGAAAAGGTGTCGGTGTTCGTTGCTGAAATTTGTAACGAGCAGTTGAGATCGGCCGTGGCACGGCTGGAGGTGGCACGGCTGGAGCGGCTGGAACGGCTTACGGCACACGGATGCGCTACCGTGTGCAGCGCCGTTTAGTCAGACGTCGCGGCCAGCAGTCAGGGTCGCAACTCCTGAGGTTCAGGGTCAGGCCCCGGCTCACGAGGACCACGCCCGGTAGGCCTCGCCACGAACCTGCTCCCGGCCACTGCACCCAGGCAGGAGCCGTTCAGCAGGCCCCGTCCTTGCACCTTGTACCGGCCGGCGGACTCGACCCCGAGCGAACACGCCGGAGCTCGACCTGGCCGACACGTACGGGTCCCACGTCCGGCTCAGGAACGCTCCCAGGAACTCGTCCTCTCGAGCGGCGCACTGCTTCGTCTGCCTTCGTGGCCTCCACGCTCGAGCTCGTTTTTGCACGTTCCTTCTGCTTCTCCTCTTCTTTTTCCTTTCTTGTTATCGCCTTCGTGCCACCTGCCCTCCGCTCGTCTTCTTCAGTTTCGGTTTGGCGTCCCTCGGCGCTTTTAAGTCCTTTTAGCCACAAATCGTACCTAAGCACAGCACTTTTGTGTCCTTTCCTTACACCAGAGAAAGCCGCACATATCGCTCAGTCGAATCTACACCCTTTACTGTTAGCGTCGATCGGAGGTCTTCAGCACGTCGACTGCCAGCGATCTCACCTCCAAGGGTCGCTTGCGTTAGTTTTCCCGGCAGGGACTGGGGGACCGTGCACCAGCATGGCGCTGTGGCAAAGATGAAAAGTGCCTCGGCAACGATGAGCGCGGCTGCCGTCCAGAAGGCAGTGGCATGCGCTGTTGAGCCAGGTAGTTCTCAATGTCCCGGGGTCGCTGGCCATACCGAGGATGCGCTGAATATACTGAAAAGCCGCGCAGCCCGAGGCGCCGGTATGGACACTGGCGGTACAAATGGTCCGCTTCACCGCAGTGGAAGCACAAAGGTCGGCGATCAGGAGTGCGCCAAACATCAGATTTCCGAGGCGAAGCACGTCTGTCGTCAAGGTAGTGTGCTGGTTGTTCTGCAAGATGCACAGGGCTTGCGTAAACGAGGGGGGGGGGGGGGGGGCGTGCGTGTGTTCTCGTAGTACCGTAGAGGCTGTGCCGACTGAAGTGAAACCGTAGGAGGTGCCTGAACAAACAGCGGGGAAGAGGAAGCTGGGCACTTCAAGGCTTCCGCATAGGTCGCACGGTGGTAGTCAGCCGTGGCGGGTGTGGCGTTATCCAGACTCACAGGGTCACGAAGGGCATGATGCAGCTCGTCCTTGACGATGCTTGCAATCGAACTCACCGTAGGTAGTGGTGGTGTGGCAGCCTTTTGCAGCTCCTGGCGTACTATAGAGCGGATAAGGTCGCGAAGACACTCGGTGTTGCTCCCAAAAGTCGTGAGAACTTGAGCAGTGGACGTGTTCACTAGCCGCTCATACAGGGAGAATCGAGGCTGAAGCATCTTTTCCATGGTGACGGCTTCGGACAAAAACTCGGCGACCGTGTTCGGAGGGCTCCGTACAAGGCCAGCGAAAAGCTGCTCCTTAACTCCCCGCATCAGGTGACGCAACTTCTTTTCTTCTGTCATACTCGGATCAGCCCGTCGGAACAGGCGCGACGTGTCTTCCACATAGGTCATGACAGTTTCATTGGGCATCTGGATGCGGGCCTGCATCGCTCGCTCCGCTCGTTCGTGGCGATGAGCACTTCTGTAAGTATCCAAGAGCCGGCGGTGGAATTCGGGCCACGATGTCATCTGTTCCTCGTGATTCATGTACCAGGTACGTGCTCCATTCTCCAAATAGAAGTACACACGCCGTAGTTTTGCCGCGTCGTTCCAGTCGTTCAAAGCAGCCACGCGTTCGAAGTCGACCAACCAGTCCTCGAGGCCTTCGAGCTCGGTGCCATGAAACGGTGTCGGAACCTGTGGACTTTCGAGGGTGTACCGAGTCACCGGGGTATTTCCTGTACCTGTTAAAGTGGTTTGAACGGACGTGCTCATCAAACTGGTGTGAACTGTAGGGTCAGCTTCGGGTGGCAATCCCCTGATCCTGCGGCTTGTCCGATGAACGGGAGTGTTGACTCGCACTGGGCTTGTGGTGCCACTTCCAGGAGGGGTCTGAAATATCCGTGAGGTGCTACCCAGCACCTCCACCAATTGTCACGTCGCGCCAGGTGGTGTCGACAAGGTTTATTGACATCTCAGCAACAGGGCTCTAACCAAGCGCCTCGGTTTGGCTTGTTTGCCAGAGCGGGGTCCACGCATACTTCTTTCTTCTCTGTGGTGTGAGCCTTCACCTTGGCATACGACCCACTACTAGAAGTAGGTGGCAATATTAGAGTGGTTGGCATTTAAGTGTGTGTGTGTGTGTGTGTGTGTGTGTGTGTGTGTGTGTGTGTGTGTGTATGTATGTATGTATGTATGTATGTGTGTGTGTGTGTATGTATGTATGTATGTATGCATGTATATTTTCTGGTTTCAATACATGATGTTTATCATTATTACCTATGTATCCACTCCTGCTAGGGCTCTGAATGGGCCTGCAGTATTTTATGAATAAATAAATAAATAAATGAATATATATAGATAAGTAGTGTGACAAGATTTGAAAATAAGAACAAGAGGTGTTGCTGGCCATTCCAACAGTGTGTCCGAGGGACTTCCTGTAATATTTTGCTGAAAAACTGTGTATTATGTGCAACAAACTGTTCTTGCTGCAACTGAGTCTGTGCAGAAAGAAAGAAATTTTTGGTGATGATGATCAGGTACACCGTAAAGCAGCTTTAAATTGGTGTGGGTGTGTTGGGGGAACTCATTTAGAAGCGAAAATTGAGAACCAGAAAGTGACGCATTCCAGGTGAGGGCATACATTTGCACTGATGAATTCCAAGTTTTTACAGTAATGCCAAGTAGTACAGGCTCATGGATTCAAACTCAGCATCAAGCTTTTTAATATAACTACTAGAATGCGCGATTGCTCGAGATAACAACGTGGTGTCATGACGAATCTGGTCTCCAAAGATAATGTAGGCTCCGATCTATGCGTTCAAGTCGAAAAGATGCCGATACGACTTGAACTGAGGAGAGTGAGCAGGAAGGTATGCGCGTTTAGCCCTAAATTGTCATGTTTAAGTCCATGAGTACTTTACATAGTCTAAGAGCTTCAAATTAATAGGAATCTTCCGAGACAAATGTCACGCAGATGACTACTTAAGGATGAGCAGGGGAAGGAAGGAATCAAGCGTAAGCAGGTGTCTGCCAGGAGTAGTAGTCATTTTGCATGAGGTTAATGAATTAATAAGTAAGTTTTATTATGAAATAAGCAGCCCTCACTTTTATGGTGATGTGTCATCACAAAATAATGCAGTTGATTGCGATGCACTTTATACTTACAGTCAGAAATTACACCAAATGTAACATTTCTGTGCAAGGTTGTCACTGTGTCGAAGTTTCTTAAAAAGTTTTGTTCCGTATATTAGTTTGTATATGTGAGTGAAACATAAAGTGGGAACAGTATGTTTAAAAATGCTATTGCATCACATGAACATGCGCATTCAAGAAGCTGGAATGGACTTGCTATGTGGCAGGTAAATAACCTATGTTCTGGGTATATATATGTTTGTGGTGAGTTCTTGGCGACGGGAGTGTAAGGTAATTGTTTTAAATGACTGCAGAACGTTCATAGTGAGTTAATTACAATCATCGTCATCATCAGTGCAGTTACAATTTTGCTGCAAGACAAAGGTCTTTGGATCCAATCATTATATTAGTGGTGATCAGAAAAGAAGTGACCATTTTGGCAAAGCTTGTGTTCAAGAGCTGTAAACTGCAGTATCTGACTCCTGAATCATCTGTGAGCAGGCAAAAGCTTGTTTTGCCGAAAGATTGACTGGTATTTGTGAGCTTTCTACATGAACGAGTGCTGTGGGAGCTCAATGCGCGACCACATTGAAGGATAGAGTAGCAAACGCAGTAGAGCGGAGTTGCCTTACAAGTTTTGCACCACAGCCCACCGTGGTAGTGTAGAAGTTACGGTGCTCGGCTGCTGACTTCAAGGCCGCGAGTTTATTCTCGGCTGCGATGGTCGCATTTCGGCGGCGGGGAAATACTAGAGGTGTGTGTACTTTGCAATGTGCACATTAAGGAACACCAGGTGGTCGAAATTCTGGAGCCCTCCACTACGGCATCTCTCATTGTCACGACTGCATTAAATCTGGCTAAATCTGGCTAATTGGTTATTCATGATTGTAAAATGTAGAAGCACAAGAAACGGCGGACCAACATACTGACAAAGAAGCACTCGTTTGTCTCTGTGTGTTAGTTCGTCGTTTTTTATGTTATATTTTTTCTCTCATTGTCATATTGTGGTTTTGGGACAATAAATTCCAGATTTTAATAGTGTTAAATTTTGCGCAATATTTGATGCTAAGAAGCATGAAAGTCTGTTCTGGTTTGTTCAGATTGTCATTTTCCTTCATTCATTGTTATTCTCTCCTCTCTTTTTATTATTTTTCAGGTCGGCTCTCTCGGCATTATTTTTGTGGGAATAATTTGTATACACTGCATGCACATACTGGTGAAATGCAACCACATACTGTCCAAAAAGTGAGTTTCTTTCGCAGTTATTTGTGACAGTTTTGTCAAACTCTTTCATCGGCAGTGTGCTCTTACAGCAGGTGGTCGCGAGTTCACCTAAGCTTTCATTTATTTTCAGAGCTGGGTGTAGAACACTAGACTTTGCCGGCGTAGCACAGTACTCCTTCAGGTTTGGACCACGCTGTGCACGACGGTTTTCCAATGCTGCAAGGTGAGTTGGTTGTGCACCTTGTGTCATCTGGCCATGCCACTAGCATAGGTTAAAGACACCACCAACGAAGAACTTGGTGTGTGATCATATAGCAGCGCAATGCACAGCCACTACGCATCTGTAACAAGCCACGACATTGTTCCAGAGAGGTGTTACAAAGCCTAAATGAAACCATGGCTGCATAAAATCAAGAGCCCTGTTGGCAAAAGATGGTGTAGTTGTCTTTATTCTTTCATTTTTACGAAACGTACGGGTCTAGTATAAGATAGAGTTTGGCGATAAGGATTTCAACCCACATTCTGGATACATTGAAATTATGACGATGTTGTCACTCATTGTGATAATTTACATTTTCATTATGCTTCATTGCAGAACAACTGTAAACTGCTTTCTCCTGCTGACACAATTTGGATTTTGCTGCGTGTACTTTGTTTTTGTTGCAACTAGTCTAAAAGAGGTAAGTGATGGTGTGCTTGCTTCATCAATATTACCCGTATTGGCATTATATGTGTGATTAAGGCTTGTGTTGGAAACGTGTATTGGGCAGGCAGCTCTGCATTGGACTTGGAGTTGGGGCAGTCAGAAAAACTGCTCTTCAATAAAATAAATCCTCTGTGTAAGCTCGAATAGTACTGCATTTTCTCGCACATAACCTGTGTGACGAAAATCCAACCTCCCGATGTGTAAGAAAAGGTGTTTATTTTCTATATACCGCAGCCCGACTCCGTGGGTTGCCACTGTAGCGCATGATTCCAAGGCAGAACAGACCATCCTCTTCTTCGTCGGATCTTTTTCTAACAAATTGCCTCGCTGTGCAGAAGTTCACAAAAGTTCAATACGAGCAGGTACAGATGCTGACAGGTCTGTTTAAAGGTAATTCTACCCAGCAACACGTGCATTGCATGGGTTCAGTTGGCGTATTCGTTAGTACTCGGCATGTGATCTGTTGTCCATGCATTCACTTCATAAGTAAGCTATTAGGGTCCTGTCCACCAGACAGAACCAGCCTTTAATTCATGGCCGGAGGCTCCTCTCATTATATTGTCAGAATCGCTATGCTTTCCAGGATTTTCGCTTCATATTGACTGATGAAAGAATCAAACACACCTAAAGATGGAGCTTAGACAAGAGGACGTCTATCGGTTCAAGAGTTTCGTATTGGTCCATTGCTGCAGTATTTTCTTGGCATTTCCCAGTCTAGACAATAATACTCTGGTGTCAGTGTAGTATTTTATTACCAGCCTCAAGGCATTAGGTAGATTTTCGACATTTTTCGAGATGAAACTATAGAGGTCGCATAGACTTCATTCTAAAAACACTTGTATCGGTCGAAGCCTCATTGTATGACTTCACAAGAGGCATTTGATATCCCATTGGCTTGCAACTACTGTTGGGGTGCGTTTTCGACTGAAGCAGCTTTTGGGTCTTCGTTGTGGGTGTTCTAACATTCCTCCCATTTAATTTTCCTGATTTGCAAGTCCATATGACTCTTCGTTGTCTTACGGTCTGTCACTTCTGATTTCAGTACGACGTCCTCGTTGCAATGCATGGCCGCTGCGCAAGAGGTTGCTGGTTCATGGTGCAGCCAGTCTCAAGAGATTTCGTCGGCTTTTAGTTCGTTTCCTAAAAACCCCAGGTGGTCGAAATTTCCGGAGCCCTCCACTACGGCGTCTCTCATAATCATATGATGGTCTTGGGATGTTAAACGCCACATATCAACCAGATCATCAGTTCTTTTCCTAAATTCTTGCTGGTTCCAGTGACAAATGACCTGTGATAGTCACTGCCAATCAAGACGTCAACAGCATTTGAGATTTCAGCTTAATTGATGTTTGAGAAGTAACATCCTTGGTGGTCGAGCTTGTCGATGAAGTGTCTAGTTGTTCGTAGAATTGAATGGCGACTGATGTTCGTCGTGACAAGAGCTTCTATCTGCAGTGGCGTCTTACTGAGCAGAGAACCTTAGAGGGATGAGCACACACTGGAAAGTGTTTCAGCTGTGCCTTACCGCAGTGGTGGCTACACAGTTAAAGCATCCGCTTCCAATGCTAGAAATACCGGGTTCAATTCCCAGTGCCGACCGGGAACCCATCGGTTTTTTCCAATGGGTAGAGGAGTACACCGACTTGGCGCTCGGTTGTTTCTGGGTACTCATCTCAAATGGTAGCCCCACAAGGTTTTACGAAGGCCCTAGGCATACCCTAATCCACCACAACCTTGCTGAAATAGTTGAGCACTCGCTGCTGCAGTGGGAGGCAGAGAATTGCTGCTGCCACGCACCTTCTGGCCAAATGGGTACAAGTGCACTTGTGGCCTGGTGCTCGGCAGAACGAAGTTCATAGTCGCTTGGAAGAGTACCCACCCTGTTGGAAGTTGGCGGCATGGGATTGCCAGACCTCAATTAAGGTCACTCTTTTTTTGTGTGTGTCATCATGTTGCTCTCCAAAATATCCTACTGTGAGGCTCTCGGGAATGAGTATTCGACAATGCAATTTTTCAGCCAATCGCTTCATCACTAAACTGCACTGACTGCCTCTGTCAAATAAAACTCGAACTAAAACTCTGCCTTTTTCACCAGCTGTCCAAGAAAGAGTAGATTGGAGGTATACGTGCCGTTTATAATTGCCAGTCCCAATAATTTCAAGGTGTTCCAGTTGTGGCAACATCGGGGCTTCTGTAGTCAACCTGATCATATGAGAGTCGGACATGGTATCCGCATGGCGTCGATTGCCTTTTGCGCGTCTAACTCTTCTCCTGAAATTTCTTGCTAGATGATGCTGGAAGGTGCAGCGAAAACAACGACCGGCATTCAATAGGCACTTTTTCTTTTCTTGTAATGGCATTTGAAAGTTTCACTGTTCGGTACGATGCGTAGTTGAGTCACAGAAAAAGCATGCATTTTTCTAAGGAGCTAGTTTTGCAGATGAGATGAGGTTAAACACTCCGCGCTTGATCGTTGCCGCAAAGAGGATGGCGCGCTAGTGCGAAATTCATCTACGTGGCCCTTCGACTTGTCCTCTCTTACAGAAACGTGTAAGACTGTATGCTCTCGAGCCTCTATTTCTGTTTAAATAAAAAGCATCAAATACTGAATCCTCGCCTTCTGTTTCTGGGTGTACTGACCTTGCTGGCCTGTGTGCTCTGTACGTTGGCGTGCGATGGTCTTGTTGAAGTCGAGGACGATGTCGTGAGGATGTAACCTGAGTAGAAAGGGGTAGAACACAGCGGAGTAATTGCCCTCCATTACTCTGAGTCTTGAGGCTGCGCATCTGAGTTTGAACCGTGTCGTAAATGCTTCGAAGTCTTCAAGGTTTGTGGGAGGACAGCACGGGTCGCATTTCGATGAGTCGCTGCATGTGAGCCTAAATGATGACGTCGGTTATGGCAAAGTGCTATTTTATAATGTTTAGGGCTTCATAATAACAGTTTGCAGCTGCTAGAAGTCCCACGATAGCCGATGCCACGTTGCCAGTCAGAACCGAACGTAGGTAGGCAAACTGGTCTACGTCGGTGAGCCCATCGTTGTTGTGGATCAGTTGACTAAACTGCTCTCTAAAAGGCGTCCGCCAATGACGGTTGGCCATCAAACTTCATGAGGTAAATTTTCGAAAGTTGGATCGCGGGCTGGGGCACACATTGCACGGGTTCAAATGATGTTGCTGGTAGTGCACGGTTGTTAGACCCCCGAAGTTAATGTATTCTATACTTGAGTTTTGCTGACGGGGTTGTGGCCCAATCGTTATATTCCGCAACCCATTCAAACTCGGCCTCCTCTTTTGTGGTTGACAGCAGAGGGATGATTTCGAAGTCGGTTGACCTCAAATCGGTGTGAAGCTGGTTGAGGCGTTCGTTGAGAATACAAAGCTCCTCTTCCATTACGCTGTCTTGAGGGTGCATTGCTTCTGCCTCGATAGCGTGGGTTAACTGAGCGCTCTCAGATTTTCTCTAGCTTGAGAGCTTTCATATTGCGTCTTTGCATTGAGCAGCTGTAAGTCAGTGCCTTAAATTCATAAGCGGGAAAGCGATTACCTTGGGGTCATGGACGTGGTTTGCTGTTCCGATGAGCTTCGGCACCACTTGAAAAAAATTGAGCCTCCTGTTGCATAGAAAAAGGGGTTTATTTACCATAAACCGCAGCCCAAAGTAAAAAAAAAAAGTGGAGAAAGTAATAAAATATAGAAAGGTATAGTACTTGTGGAAAGAAGCAACAAAACACGGTGTTTACATAAATTGTCATTTACAAGCAAACAATATGAAATAATAAGATTATTGCAGTCAACTTCATAATTTATATAAAAATAAGGCTTTATCAGAAAACAAGAGGTAAATTTGTCTGATAAGTAATTTATGCTTGCAAACAAGATGCATGCCGTAAATACTAAAATTTCTAGAAAAGAGGTGGCATGAAAAAGTAAAAACAAAGGTAACATAATTGCAAGAGACAATTGTTAATTTAATAAACAAAAAACTAAGAAGGAAAGAAAACTGCATCAAGTGGTTTGCATTATATGATTAGAATGAATCTGTAGTTAACAAATTTGTTTTTTGTTGTGCGCCATACTTTGATATAGAGTGCCAAGACTTAGGTAACCTATGATTCATGGGAAATTCAAGAAACCCGTCTAAAGCTGCGTGAAAGAAGCATGTTATGAAGTGTAGTGCTACCGTACTACCTGTCGCCCTTTTTGTCATAGATGCTACTAGTGTGGCCGTTTACTTTGCTCACTTTTTGTACCGTTTCCCCCTTTCTCCCTGTGTGTGTGTGGCCTTGATGTTTCTCCTTTTTCTTATGCATATTATTAGCTTATTTACTCGCATGATCCTCACATTTTTTTAGCGAAAAACCGATGAAAAATTGGGTGTGCGAGATTACACGAGAAAAATTTTTCCGCGAAACCGTGCAGAGCGAAAAAGAATACCAAGTGGTCGCAAGTTGAGATTCTCACGCCAGCGACTAACTACAAGCTTTGAGAAGTACTAATAAAGACTTACCTTAAAGGGAAACTAAAGAGCAAATACTATTTTTCGTGTGTTAGTAAAGTAGAGTTTCACAATCCCAAAAACACCACTCTTATTGCGACATGATGCTTGGTAAGTGAGAAAACACGAGAAATGAAAATACGGTTGGAGACGCCACCATGAGATCCCCGAACCAAACACTGTGATGGAGTAAATTTTTAAGACGTCTACTGTGCCCTGCACAGCTTCTACTCCATAAAGACGAGGTACATTGCTTTCTGTGGGTGCCACAGACCTAGCATGCGAAGTTTCAGAAAATTTCATTGTCGATGTTGAGAAAATACAAAGAATACATTTTGCAGTTTGTTACGTGACGGGCTGAGATTTCGGCGCGAAATATAAAAATGAAGCTTCAACCTTGATTTTCTCAACTAATATTGAACTTATGACAGTGCAACTTAAGGTGTTAGATTTTTCAGAGTGCAGTTTATCAATGTAAACCAAGTCATTGTTTCTCTTTAGTGTCCCTGTTAACAGTAGAGCCACAGGTGCAACACAAGGCAAGGTTTATTCGCTACACAAAAGCCGCAAGCAAATAGAGAAACAGCGGACGCAAAGCTTGGGGCTGCTGCGGTCGATAGTACGCATGGTACTTAAGAAATAGTGCCGGGTTATCATGCGCTATCATCATCAGTGTTTGGAAGGAGCAGACGACATCTTCAAGGGTGGGATAATTACTTGCAGAAAAAAATATCATATTTTCGCGTGGGGGAGTGGGGGGGTGCCAGAATTATGGGAGTGCGAGGATTACGCGAGTAAATGCGGTATTTGTGCATTTGCTTGTGTATCTCTGGTCAAGTCCATGCAGTACCATAATTTTCTATGGCCTGGCACCAACTAGCCAAACATCAAGCTACTGTAAATTCAATGATCATGCTCATGGGAGAGTTTTGAAACGTTGTGATGTTATTAAATTCTGCTTCAATATAGCAGTAGAAGAGGCTTATCACTGCTCTGCCTGCTTGGAAATGGGATGGCGTGGCAGGAGCATTGAGAGTGGTCATTTGACGACCCTGTTTACTGTATGGAGCTATCTTTAGGCAGTTTTGAACCTGGGTGGTCATTGATTGATGAAGCCTCATGATTTCACCTTTGAATAGGACAGGGTTAAAGAGCTCGTTTCGTAGAATTTTCGGTGTCGGCATCTTGGTCGTGAACAAAAAATCAGCATTGTCCACAAGCGAACAAATGAAATAGATACAACTGAGTAAATAAGGAAAACGTTTATGGGGGAGGTGGGGATCAAGTGGCAATTGAACCCAGGCCTTCTGCATGGCAAGCAGCTGTCCTACCACAAAGCCATACCATTCATGGTTGATATTGCTTCTGAGAAAAAAAAAACACTATATCAATGTTAAATAGTGGGAAGAGTGTTATTCACACATGTAATATTTCGTGGCAGAAGCGTAGAGTTTCACCAGGCACCAATTCGTACGAGTTGTGCAATGAGTGGGTGGTTTAGAGTTTTACCCATGAAAAAGTGCTCTGGCCTAATATTAGCATCACTCTCCGCAACAGTATCAGTAGAATCGCCTGATGCACAGGTGCAAACGTTGCTTTGCAGACGCATAGTGGGTGCTTTGCTTATTGATAAAAGGAAGAAAAATATAGTGTTTTGGCCGATTTGCAATGGTACTTGCAGTAGGCATTCGATGATATGTAGTTTGAAGGGCCTATGTTGCATGCACAGACGTTTCTTTCCTCGGCACAGCTGAAGTTTTCTCATCGAAGCGAGGCTTGGCTGGGTATAGTGAAGTCGATGCAAACAGAGCCCAGTTGTTATATTGTGTCCTACTTTCAAAACAAAGCTCAAGAGGCCCCCATAATCCTGTCCATTTTGGACCATTTTCTTATTATGTTTAGTACGGTCAGAAAGAAAGAGTACTTGGTTTATAAGCATGTCAGCTCCTTAGAATTACGAGGTTACTTTGTGATGTGTGTGGTAGGACTTTTTAGAACATTGTAAACTTGCATGCATGAGACATGGAGCAAGAGTTGAAATGGCACCATGCACGGCAAAGCATGCATGATGTGCTCTATGGTGCGACTTTCGTCTAAGCGATTTGGTGGCACTTCATCGACAGGCATCGCCTACTCTACAATCGCTGCTGGTAGTTTAATCTATGTGAAGCAATGCATGTAATTAGGGCGATGTATCACTGCTTCCAATGTGTATGTTACCTCTTGAGATTATTGATCAGAATATCGTCAAAAGCAATCAATAAGTGGAACTGTATCGCATTTCTCGTGCATTGCATCCGTAGAAGAGCATGTAAACAATGGGAACAGATCTTACACGCCAACACGCCATCTAGGACAATGCTGCAAGACCTGAATTTCATCCTCACTCGGCTACAATATTTATCATACCATCCAGACATGTTGTCATGGCCTGATGGATTCCTATCGTGAAATACTTTTCTCCACAGCATGAGATAAGATAGCTCCGGTGAAAAGCCAGTGACATGAGTGATAGTGTTTGCCATGCTTAAGTGCCGACGCAAGCATGTCGCAAAGCACTTGGAGTAATCCTTTGGTTGTTGTCCCCTATAGGTGCTTCACGGGCAAAACATTGAGATGAGTGTGTATGTTTACCTGGCCATACTGCTGCCTGTCATGGTGCTGTACAACTTCATCCGAAGCCTGCGAATGCTGTCTGTGGCGTCCACATTCGCCAACATACTGCAGATCACAGGCATGGTGCTCATCTTCTACAATCTGCTGCAGGACATGCCAAGCATCAGCGAGCGGCCTTTGTCCATGGGCATAAGCCGCCTTCCGCTGTACTTTGGCACTGTCATTTACGCCTTCGAAGGCATTGGCATTGTGAGTAGCATGGCACCATGCCAGACTATCTCCTGTGTTTAGAGCTGCCGATTTACTTTTACAGGGAAAAAGTCCAATACTAAAAAAAAAAAAAGAATTTACTACTCTGAAGTGCCCAAAATTGTAACATTGCATGTTTGCAGCATTAAAGGGGCCCTGCATCGCTTTTTTCGGGATGATAATAAAATGCTGCCAATCAATAGTCGACACTTTTGAGAACACGCAAGCCAAACATTATAGCGCAACATGTGGTTTGGAATTTACAATGAATTCTTAAAGTCGGCAAAAAATAGCTTCCCACCTCTCTCTAGAAGTGATGCCATATACCCCAATCACTGCGCCATATACTCAAGTCCACAGCCATTGTTCAATTTCAGCAGCATCGCCTCTATAGTTATTGTGGCTGCCACAAGGTGTTTCCACCTGTCCATGTTCGTGCTCGTGATTACCCTAAAAGTAGGTCACATGTGCAAAGAAACAATGAAATGAAAGTGCTCAAGGTCACGGACACTAACTCGAAGGGAGCATCTTGCCCCCTTGTAATCCCCATCCCTGAATAGCTTTTAGCGCACTCTCTATTACAAAAGGAGAGTGTGCTTAAAGTGTGCAGCCAATTCCTTTAACTCTGCTCGTACTAGACGAAATATAAAAATTCTCACATCAGTCAATTTGTGAGGCAATAAGCACTTCTTAATACAGCCATACTGTGAGGAGTTGAGAAAATGTTAAAGGACCCATTTAAGCATGCATCTTCTCAAACAGAATCCCTTGTTTTTTTTTTTTTGTTTGTTGAGTGATGTCTCTTATACCCTGCCTTGGAAATCTGTGTAAGGCAAACGCAATTTCACGATCAAGACCATTCATACTACCGTAGCATGTGGTACCTTAAAATGCTGCGGGGCTATGTAGTATGTTGAATAGAATCAAAATCAATTGCCATTGTTGATGCTCGTGACTGTTCCACTGATTTCACTATCCAGGTGCTTCCTTTGGAGAACGAAATGAAAACTCCTCGGGACTTTGGAGGCGTAAGTGGTGTGCTGAACACTGGCATGGTCATGGTAGTTTGCTTGTACACAGCTATTGGCTTCTTTGGGTACCTGAAGTACGGTGATCAAGTCGCAGGGAGCATCACCCTCAACTTCCCACCTACACCGTAAGTATCCCTGTTGGGCTTCCGCAGCATTGTATGGATTGATGTTGAAATTTTCAAAACTTGTATGGGCAAAGTTAGATAAATGAATTCATATCCTACACAAGAATAGCTTCACTGTATTGAGTGCTTGTTGTAATCCCCTATTTGTGATATATTTCTATTAACTAACGAACAACTTTTAAATCCATCTTTGAATCAAAAGCTTTATAGATCTCAGTAATAGTATCAATATAGAACTTTCACTTGCTTGTAAATGTAAAAGCGACTGCGCAATATCATGTTACGAATCAAATATACAGCAGCAACAGTGCAGGTAGTTCATTCTTGTGACTCATAGTTTCAGCTCTGTACCAGGTTACGAAACTGTGAAATACCAGATTAGAAACGGATATACAGCAGCAACAATGCTGGTAGTGCATTGTTGTGACCTGTAGTTTTAGCACAGAGCATAAGCTAATATTATGGTGACTTTTCCTAACTTTCTGCAAATTGTTAGAGGGTTTCTGAATTTGTGTAAATGGTTAAACCACAACTAAAGAAGTGATTCATTCACACCAAAATGCTTCATAAGTTTTACACCCTTTGTAGAGCACATAAGTTAATCTCTTAATGGTCCAGAGCATCCATGCTCCTACTCAGTGCATTTACTAAAGCTATGTTACATTCCCTTTAAGAGCAAGCATGCTCACCGATACACAGTTATTTGAGGATTTGTTCTTCATAATGATGCATCATACAAAATTTCTCTATGTGCACGGTAGTTGAAGAGGCACTGCAATATGCATCTACCCACTTTGCTACTACTTGGTCCTCAGCTTCATAAATCAGAAAACGCTAGTAAGTTTGTGTATGATGTAGAACTGACCAGTGTCTTATATTCGGGATGGTGTTCAAGTGGTTTGCAACAACCTGTACATGGTTATAGTTCTGTAAAAGCCAGTTGGTAATTTAACTTCTATAGCTTTACTTAATTTGGAAAGGTTGCCTGCAAGCCCTTGAGGATGTCTGAAATAAACTGTTGCTATCTTTCGAGGATACAAACTATAGTGATGGCTTGTAGAAGTTATCAATGAACCGATCTTTATGACTTGGTTTCACAGGTGAACAAGTCAGCTTTAGCAGTTTAGTTTTGTGTCATTCTTATTTTTACCTGCAGTGATGGCCCCGCCGCAGTGGTGTTGTGGCTAAGGTACTCGGCTGCTGACCCGCAGGTCGCGGGATCGAATCCCGGCTGTGGCAGCTGCATTTTCGATGGAGGCAAAAATGCTGTAGGATCGTGTGCTCAGATTTGGGTACACATTAAAGAACCCCAGGTGGTCGAAATTTCCGGGGCCCTCTACTATGGCATTTTCATAACCATATGGTGGTATTGGGACATTAAACCCGACATATCAATCATTACCTGCTGTGATGGATTAATGACTATGGCATTGAGTTGCGAACCTAGAGGGTGTGGCTTGGGGTAAGCTTGAGTAAGTTGGAGTACAGAAACGGCTGACATTGCTGTGACAATAAAACCTTTCTCCTTCAGATTTTACGAGACCAGAAAAAATATTGAATTAATTTAAAACTAACTTATCAAAAGTATGAAGAAAACAGTCAATAAATGTACGTTAAGAGAATACAGTAAAACCCCGTTCACATGTTTCTCGACGGACTGGGTAGGAAAAATACCTAGAAAACGCAAGAGTGAGGAAAGCTCCAAAATAAGTTAGAGCACAGGCGCTTTTTGACGACAAACAATTTCTTTTGGCAAGGTGAATCTAAGACTTAAAATATTTGAAGATGGTTGACTGCCGCTCCTTTCGCTCGCTGGTAAGCACCACATTTCTCAATAATCTGGAAAGCCAGATTATTGATCTCTAAAGTTTTCAGCATTGCTTTGGTGTGCGAGACGTACCTGCAAAGGTAGTCCAGGACTGCAAAGGCTTCTCCAAAGTTTAGATCCGCCGACTCTACTGCAAACTCTTCAGAATTGTGTGACTCGTGCTCGTGTTGTCATCGATGTCCCTGTCTTCAGTTGTGATCGATTTTCGCAACGATTTCTGCGATTGTCTGGCACTCCAACGTCACGATGGCAGCATCAACAGCGCATCGTTTTACGTTGTACCAGTGGCACCCTAGTGCAGTCATTGCGTCATTGAGCTCTTGCTCACAAGACGCTGCTTCCAATTGATGAACTCCTGCTGATGCAATGTAACTCACGCTGATGCTGAACTCACGCTGATGCTGAGCATCACGCTGATGCAATGTAATGCATGGCGTCGAGTACCATATCATCATAGGCTACTGTCCACGATCAATAAGCGCGAGACAGTGCTTGACGATGTTTTTTCTTTACGAATACTTTACTCATTTTATGATGACCTTGGCATCCATTGGCTGCAAGTGGCTTGTCATACTTGGTGAAAAGCCCCGCCACAGGTGGTCTAGTGGCTAAGGTACTCGGCTGCTGACCCGCAGGTCGCGGGTTAGAATCTCGGCAGCGGCGGCTGCATTTCCGAAGGAGGCGGAAATGTTGTAGGCCCGTATGCTCAGATTTGGGTGCATGTTAAAGAACCCCAGGTGGTTGAAATTTCCGGAGCCCTCCACTACAGCGTCTCTCATAATCATATGGTGGTTTTGGGACGTTAAACCCTACATATCAATACTTGGTGAAAAACAAACTAAAAAAAAACAAGTTTGATGTCTTGTAGAAGTGGCAGATCACTAAGGTGGGCAGCACAATTGTCCAGCAAAAAAAAGAACCCTCCTGCACTGCGAATACATCTTATCATCGAAAAAACTCTTCAAACAAAGCATAGGTCACCTACGCACGGCTGTTACTTCTGTAGTGGCATGGCAGCAGGTGAATGTTTTTCAAGCACCATGACTTCTTAAACTTGCCGACCACCCATGGCTTTAGTTTGTCCGGGCTGTCCACATTGCAGCAAAGGAAGCACCGTCAGCCACTCTTTGATGCATTTGCCTCCACGGCACGCTTAGCCCTTCAGGCTTAATGATTTCGATTGCTACATACGAAAGAAGAGGCCTGTTTCGTCAGCATTGTAAATGTCACGAGGCTCGTACCCCTCAAATAAAGCGGATTAATGTGGACTTCTAATTATCGACTGTTCTCACGTTCACACTTGCCGCTTCTCCGCTTACCATATAGTAAGCGATGCCAGTGCCTTTTGCGGAAACGGTTGATCCAGCCATTTCGGCTCCACAAAATCAGCGAGGCCCAGTCTGAACTGCTATTTTCATCGCCTTCTCACGTAAAATGCTGCCGTCAAAGTTGATAACAGCAGCGCGAACTTGCTTGAACCAGGTGAGAAGAGCCTCGTCAAGGTTCCTCGTGCTCGGTGCCACGAGATTGCTCGGCTTTCTGGCAGAAGGAACTGCCTTCCCTTCAATCTTTGCACGATTCGAGACGATGCTGCTGAGTGTTGATGATGGCAAGCCCAAGGTTTTTGGCAATGTTGACCCTTTTTCACGCTGGCTGCTTGTTGATTGCTTTAAGTACGTCCAGCTTTTCCTCAAGGGAAAGTGCTTTCCGCTTATGTGACACCATTAAGGCTTGACGAAGATTGCGTTAACAAGTTCAATGGCATTCAACAGGCGCACACAACAACAACTGAAGCCGAGTCACAACATGCAGCGTGCAGCAGTGGGGACTGTCATGCACTTCCAGCATTTCATAGTGAAACTTTCATTGTAAGCACAGTGATGATGGTGGTAGCACTTTTCACAAACAGCTATCTAGGGGCGGCCTCTTCAACTTGCCGGTGTCTTCTTGCCGCCTGTTCCGTAGCCAAGCCAGGCCAAGACTGTCAAACGTCAAATCAAAATGTCAGTGCCCGGGTGGCACGTCGGGCGGGTTCGGCGAGCTAGGTTGCGACGCATCATGCAGGAACTTCTTCATAGTTGCGACGTAACAGCGGGGTTCGCAATGCATGAGATTCTTTGAAAGCTACACCAGGACCAAGGAAAAACAACTTAACAGCCTATAAAACGCAGCAGTGAGGAACGTAACAGCGGAGTTCGACTGGATACTGTAATTTTCTTGATGAATTCTGAAATCTTGTACTTGAATAAAAATGTATAAAAGCCGCAATTTTCGTCATCAGCAACTTCGTTAGTTCTCAGTGCGACCACAGTTCCTTGCTTCTGTGGCTAATTATCCAGAAATGTGCTACGCACTCCTCTTTTACTACGTCTTGCCCCCACCAATTTGCGTACATGGTGATAGCTTTTTTTGCGTACATGATGATAGTTTTTTTGCAGATTAAGTGGGCAGCAACCGATAGCTCATCCGTGGTGATGTAGCAAAAGCTAGTTTTATGCCAGCATACCAATAGCTGCTGAAAGCTCTTCATCATCAACAGTTTCTGTATATATTTTTTTTACATGGCACGTGCATTGCATCAAGTTAAAATGAAGCTGCTGAGCGCCGTATCCTCAGGCAGAAAAAACCATGGTTGCTAACTGATGACGCTAGGGAAGCAGACAGCACCACCTTGTTTCGGTTTCTGTGTAAACCGTTCTCGCTATTTTCCATCACACACTTGCAACGCTTAGCATTCGGTGGGCTTCTAGGATCACCCTAATTGAACGGATAGCGGCCAAATGTTACCGAGAGTTTGAGTCTATTAAACAAAGCGTATGCTGGCTGGATCCAGAGAACACATTTGAATTATCCAATTTTCTGAGTTAATGAGGGCCCAATTAACAAGCTTTTACTGCATTTTCTTGGCTTTGAAGATGACCTTTATTTATGATAATGGTAGTGGTAGTAATCCTCTCTTTTTGGTTTCGATGCTTTCAGGTTGAACGAAGTGATCCGGCTCATATTTGCGGTCTCCATCTTTCTATCGTATGCTTTGCAATTGTACGTGCCCGTTCAGATCATCTGGCCCTGTGTAGTGAGGCAATTTTCTCTCGACGATGGCAAGTATTCACCACGGGTCGTGATAATCTTCGAATTGCTGCTGCGCACTGCACTGGTTACTATGACATGTACGTATAAAGCTTTCGTTTTGTTATTGTTGCCACTGTGATGCTATGTCCTATTTTGCCTTTGGTTGTGTCACTGTGTAATATTTTGGCACAGTTATAATCTAGCTTCATGTTTTTAAGTGTGAGACTGAGATATCTGCTCCTATTATAAAAATGTCGGCCTGGGCTGCCGCCACCTTCACTTTTTTATGAAGTATGATCATATATGGCGCCCACTGCCAGGTTCCTAACCAAAGGAACCATCAAGGGAAGTAACAAACTAAACAAAGAAACAAAAATATAAGTTATAAAACTACAAATTGCAATACAATAAGTTCTAAAATTACGAAATGAAAAACAAACTCAAAAATGAGTATTTCATTGCAGTAGCCAGTATATAAGAACTAGTAAAAAAATGTGACATTGTTTTCACTGAATGTGCAGTCAACTAAGTTTGCCGATTTTCAGTCAAAGAAAACTATAAAGCACAGTAGATTGGCTTTGCTGCAATATAAGAATCGATTATATTTAAATCTGGGAAGTAATTTAACTTTGAACTCTCATTTTCTGGAAGGCAAACATGACAAATAGGGCCAAAACCTCCACGCGACCTCCTTTTCTTGTTTTCCTATGTTTCGAGAATGTGCGATGAAATTGTCTATTCGCTCATTTGAAGTGATGTAGAAGGGTCATCTTGGCTCATTGCGCCTCCTCTTTTTGTGCGCACAGTTGTGCTGGCCGTTGCGGTGCCCAGGCTGGATCTCTTCATTCCGTTGGTTGGTGCACTGGCAAGCAGCAGCCTGGCACTCATCTTGCCGCCATTGCTGGAGCTGTTCACACTGTGGGATAGCGACCACAGCAAACTCATGTGGAGCTGGCTGTGGGCCAAGAACATCTTCATCTCTGTACTCGGTGTGCTGGGATTTGTAACCGGAACATTTGTTACAATCACAGAAATCATTAACACCTTTTCAAATCCAAGTGGTGACAGCCCAAAGTGATTACTTCGCACTCTGTCATCAGACGTGCTTGTTTCCCGTGCATGGCATGGGGCCGTAGGTGGACTTGTCACATGGTTACCTGTGTAGGCCACGGTAGGAGTTTTCAGCTGCTTAGAAGTATAGAAACAGGGTACTGTGGTTATCTCTTCTTTTATGTAAACCTGAAGGAAGCATTTTTATGCCCTATCAGACACAAGAAAACTGTTCCAGTTCACGCTGTTTAAATTACGCATGCATTCATAACTAGGTGCAACTGTGCCTTATTGATCTGTTTAGGTATTTTTCAAGGGCTAATTATAGCAGAGGTAATCAATTGAAGACATGGGGTAGGCAAACATGCAGAAGCATATGAGTAATGCTTCAATGAAAGGAAGTTTGCTATAAAATGCTTTTTGAGTTTGATAAGTTCTGATATTTTGGGGCTAATGAATGTGTTTCTAAGCAGTTGCAAGAAATGCTAACATATGTGAAAGACGTGAAATTCTCTAGTCTAGAGGAGCTTGCGCTTGGTGTCGTGCTCTGGTTGAACTTGGTTTTCCGTAAACAATGTTGATGAATGGTAATGCTGGCAATTCGGTTCTGCGTTGACACAACTGCTAATTACGATTTGAACCTTGCTACTGCTTGAACTAAGTGCATAATGAAATGTGTGTTGATCTTTTTATGCGCTGAAATTACTTTTAAGCCTTTTGCGCACAAAACTTAACTCTGCGTAGCTTTGCCAGCATTACAGTTGTAGATTAAGTTTTTGAAAAGCTGTCTTACTCGTACCACCCTGTGAACTACGTAGTGACTTCTAGCAGGAAGAGTGTCCTTATGAGTGTGCTCACAATGAACTGACATTAGTTCTTGGCGTGGTCATTGCTACCTGCAGACGGTGGCAAAGTGTATTTATTGAGCTTTGGGAGGAGCTTGCTCATTTGTGATGTGTTCTCACTTTTTAAAATCTCGTGATATGTTAGGCCAGGGGCACTATACGTTAGGCCAGGGGCACTGTGCTGATTCGTGGGCATTAGGTTCCTTATCGAAAATGGAGGCCACCTTTTCGATAGCTGTGGGATGTGCGGAGGATTAGCAATGTAATTGCACAAATCGCGCTGTGTTGTCTATGTTACGTAAAGCGGTTATCGTCGTAACCAAGTGGCTTCGGTTCATGGCTACAGTGCCCACGTCTGGGAGCTCACCGTCTGGGAGCAGCGGTCTTTCGTGTCAAGGTTCTCCTCCCGCATAGCCAGAGTCCTCCGCCAAGGGCTTTAACTAGTGTGCTTGGGGCTTCCAGTCACATTCCATTAATATGCTCACTTTTCCATTTCACTCGTTCCTTCAGCCAAGCGTCTGGTGACGTCCACTGGATCTTGCAGTGTGGTGATTTGGTTGCTTGGCAACCATTTGTGACCACGCAGGCCTTTCTAAACGATGTAGAGATTGCTTATGTACATGCATTTCACCTCAATGTTTTTAATTGTGTGCGCTGGTCACACTCTCTGCCTGTGCCGCACCACAGAGGCCACTGAACAATGCACCTTTGTTTGAGGTGCTCAACTTCTTCATCTGAGTGTGTGCTTTGTGATTATTCAAGAGATTCTCATGCATCTGTTAGCATGGTACAGCAGAAAATAGTGTAAGCATTTTTTACTTGTGTCCAGTAGCGCATATTGTTTCACATCTTGTGTGTGTTGGTTGGTTGTTTGGCAGTTCTTTCTCGTACAGCTCCATCTATGTCTATCCACTCTAGCTGCCACCTGTGATGCAGTGGCAGACTGCCACCGCCATAAGGTACATATACGCTGCTGCCCATTAGACGTGTGATGTTGAGCATCCTTTCTTCCTCCAGGCCCTTTGCTTCTTTCTAGTCTGGTTATTTCAGCTGCTTCTCGAAGACAATGTTTTGATGACCGTTATTGTCTTACAGTGTATGTATATAATAAGGGTTTGCTTCCGGCACAACTTCCAAGTGCCTTCAATGTGCGAACCTGTGTGTACATTTTCAGTGCGTTGTTGCACTCTGCGAATGTGTCAATCTGTGATAATTTGTAAACACCTTCTTATGAGAACTGAAATCCCGTGCCTTATATTCATGACCACACTCATGGGAAGAAGCAGTAGCTAACAGGGGCATCAGCAACTTCAATCACTGTCTTCCATTTCATGTGCACAAACATGTTCTAATAGCTGGTTTCCTAATGCACCTGTGGTGCAAGTGCCTGCACAGAAATGGTAACTGCTATTTATTGTTTGAATGTTTAACTCGACGCCTTAATACGTTTCTCTTGATGGATTGAAAAAAAACTAAGAAAATTGCTGGCACCTTTTAAATAAGATATTTCTTTGAGCATAAATAATCACTGTCGTTAACTGGTGTCTTGACAGAGAGTGGTGTTGCTTGATTTGTAGCTGCATCATTTGTTGGTGCGTTTGCTAGCGTTTCTCAGATGCTGGTATGACAAGCAGCATTATATGGAGGCCTTTCGCTGTTCTTTCAGCGGTTGTTGCTCTTTTGTGCTCTGGGGCCACTTTTCTTCCCATTTTATGATAAATATTGTATACACATGTTTAAATTTATATGTATAATACATTGTTATGTACCCTTGTATTTATGTGAATGCATGTATTATATACTGATGCATCATTTAGAAGTAGCAAGACGTAAATAAATGCAAAGTATATCTAATTAATTTTTCCATTTCTTTAGAAAGAAAATAGATTGCCCTATGAAGGGCACATCACCTTTTGATCATGGTATAAATAATTATTTTTTCTATAATAAGCATTTGTCTCGCTTATGTATAGACAAGTGTATTAAAGCTGTTTTTAAGCCCATTGTTGCTAGAGAAGCTTACAAAATAGAAATTCACATGAAGCAGTTGAAGTTTGTATACCTTATTGTTCTTATCCCTTCTTTGTTGCTTTCTGAATCACTGTTTAATGAAATAAAATTTGTTAGCATTACAATTGATCAAAACATGAAAACAGTTGCTATTATAATTACAAGGTCAGACTTGTGTCGTACTGCTTGATCAGTCTGCTTAGGAGGTTGTAGCGTGACCTTTTATCAGCTGTTCTTTTGGAGGCCCTCAGTATCAGTGGGCTTGTGCTGTATCGTAGAATATAGAATACTGTTTTTTTTTTTGCATCGTCATGCTTTTCAATATGGTCAATCAGGGAACACCAACACGGAAGAGCAAATAGTATTTCGTATTCTCTCCTGCAGTATAGGTTCCAATTGACTATTTATGTAGCATTCAGACTTGGTCTCTACTAAATGCACTATGTACTATATTTTGTTCTGCAGTAGTACAAAATAATTCAATCTTTATATTACCACAGTCTTCAAGTAGGCTGAACTGAATTAGTGCCCTCTGTCTGTTGGGTCTGACCTTAGCAGTTTTTTGCACCGTGCTAACTCTTACCAAGTCTGCAATGCTATTTCCTTACTATCTACCACTGTGCTCTCTGCATCCCTGTTACAGTTTCATTTTCTTCTGCTTTTTCTTTTTGAGCCAGGACAGTTGCAACAAGTTGCAAGTATGAAGCATGAAAGGACACCTGAGCAGGCGCATAGCCAGAAATTTTTTTCATGGGAGGGCACCCTCTTAATGTGATAAATTTTTGCTCTCTATGCTATGGCATAAAAAAATTGCCCGCAGCTTCCCTCGGGGGAACACTGAGGAGGATGCGGACCATATAATTGGTTAACGGGGTGTTAAAGTGCGACTTACTTGGGTCGATGGCTAAATTGGTTAACGTGGTTGTGAAATGGGGTGTTAAATTGCGACTTACATGGGTCGATGGCTAAATTGGTTAACGTGGTTGTAGGAGGAGGTGTTAAATGAGTGAACACGTACACACGTATGCGAAAGGGCGGCGCTGGTCGAAGGGACGTCGATCATTGTGTTTGTGGATTCGTTGGAATTCATTTCACCGCGACCTTGGACGTCGATGCGCCGTACAAACCAACCGACGAGCGGCAACTGAGCGAGCGAGCGCCGACCTTGAGTATATATACAGCACGGCGGCGCATGCACTGTCAGCTGTTGAATGTTCTCGAAGCGCGACGCCACATGCGCGTCCACTGGAGAATCAGGAGAATTGTAGATGTCGAACGCGGTGTGTAGAGGAGGAAGGGTGCACAGATGGTGAAGGAGGGAAGCGCGCGCGGTGTGTAGAGGAGGAAGGGATGCACAGATGGTGGAAGAGTGGGCGACGGCGCGACGGCGCATGCGCGCGCGTCAGCTGTCGAATGTTCGAGAAGCGGTGCGGACGGCGCACTACAAGGCGCGAGTATAAGATGCTCCGCATCTAAAAATTGAGGGGGGGGGGGGGGGGGGAGCACAGGCCCAATGTGCCACCCCCTGGCTATGCCCCTGCACCCAAGTACATGGCTGACTACATGTGCTTCTGCAGTAGCAGTAACCGCAGGAGCAGTCTAGAATTTGACACCGCAGTGAGGCTGACTTTGACAAAACCTTATGAACGTGGCTTCGTATTAAAGAACTAGTGCAGCATATACAGCACAGTTGAAAATGTATACAGAAATAAATTTCGATGATGACACAGGTAATTACGAGATTAAAGTGTGCACAAAGTATAAGTGGCTTTTCCAGCACTATGAAGCTTCTTCCAACTATAGACTGGGGGGCATTCCCTTGTGTTCCGGTTAAAATGTGACACCATAGATCTATTGCAGGCATCTCCGGCTGGAGGGAATGTAGACAAGAACACTTGTGTTGGCTCATTTCAGTGCTAGTACAACTGAACGATATTCACAAAGTTATGAAAGGACTGGTGCAGGTAGTTAGAATAACTCTGATTTAAACTACATGTGTAGAAATGCAAAACAATTTTGCAAAGGACACAATTTTACCTTTATTATAGCAGAAATATGAAATGGTTCTCTGACAATGCCAGAGTCACTGTGTACAAAGAGCATGAAATGATTCATGAAAGCGAAACTAGAGCATGCGTGTAAAGCTGTGACAATTGTCGACAACATAATCTTTGAGAAGTTTGAAACAAAGAATGAAAGTCAACAATTACATGGGCCCTCGGCAATATTCATGTGCCCATGGGCATTCCAAATGATATTGAGCAGGTTTCCATTTGAAAGAACGAACGAGTGTTTTTTAAGGTCCCCACTATAACAGTCGCGCATAACGATCACGTGACAGATTTGGCAATGTTTGAAGCTGACGTGGAGGTAGGTGACAATATGGAATGCTCACTCCTTGTCGCACCATCAAAACAAGAGGTGTCTTCCGAAGTTTGCATAAAAATGGGAAGGTATAGGCAATGATTTAGAACTTGATGCAGTATTGGGAATGGAATATTGATTTTCATCATATGTTATGTGGTTTTGTCCTGACTGATAATCAACGTTACTGACGGGCACTGATGTGTATTTTTTGAAATATTTCGGCTGGTCCGTGCAGTACAACGCTGAATCGTCAAGGATAGGTGCAAGACTACTCATTAGCCACCTTAAAGGAAAGATGACTTCACTCTTGTGTATGCCTGGTGTCGTGTGTTAGGTTCGTCACATAGCAAGGCGTGTGACGCGAGGATGATGGAGACAGTGAGGAAAACAAACGGGAGTTATATTGGATGAACAAAAAAAAAACTATTGCGCGTACAGTACTGTAAGTCGTACACGCGCGTGGTTCACACACAAAGAAAAGAGTAACCAGTCTCACAGTCTGTGCCGTAGCCCGATGCCTTGAAGTGGGACCCGTTGCGTGCTCGGATGCAGTCGTCGCTTGGGTGCCAGGTCAGCATGCCACTGTAAGGGGCATCACCAGGTCTAGGCGTAGCCGCACACTGTCAGCGACGTCGGCTCGGTGGACGTGGTCAGCAGCTCCGGTCTTTCGAGGGCGCTCGCCGTACCGGAGATGTCCACAGGACCACTCACGGAGAACTCGTGCTTCGCCACGCCGACACGCCGTGCCCCGAGGACGTCAATGGCTCGAGGACAGGAACCCGGCCTTTCGAACCTCGCGCGTAGTTGCGGGTTCGCCCTAGGCTCCCTTGTGTCGTCTTGCCGGCGTCCGAACGGCTTCGTTCTCCGCGAGCGTCTCCTCTTCTTTTTTTAATGGGCGCGCTGCAATGCCCCTTCATTCTTCTCATCTTCTAAATGATGTGGTGCTGTCGTCTGCTAGGCTCGCATTTTTAAGGTACTACATCACATCACCCCCCACTTAAGAAAGTTCTTCCGGTAGAAGAACTTGAGGGCACTGGGGATACGTTGGTTCGCAGACGGAAACACACACGTAAGCACCGCTGCACACTATAGCAGTTCCGAGCCCCGCACACTCGGCACATTCGGTCACAAAAGTACACACCAGAAAAAAAAAAGACACAAGTCACAGAACTAAAGCGTCATGATACTTGTACCGCGCTGTAAGGTTCACATCATAAGCTATTAATACCATTGAGCATCGACTCTTCCTACAGACGTTGCTCACGGAGTTGGCAAACGGCTCATGTAATCTGCGCCTATGTTGTCTCTGCCTTTAATATACTCGACCGAAAAGTCGTACTCCATAAGAATGAGGCTCCACCGTAACACGCGGCTGTTCACATGCTTGGCCGACTTGATGTACTCAAGCGGTTTGTGGTCACTCTGTAGAATGAATGTGCGTCCAAATAGGTAGATGTGAAATTTCCGAACCGCCCACGTAAGAGCCAGGGCCTCTCGCTCTACTGTAGCGTAAGCAGCTTCACGTGGTTGTAGTCTACGGCTTGCGTATGACACTGGATGCAGTATTCCTTCGTGACGCTGCATGAGTATGGCACCTACACTTCTCGATGATGCATCGGTGCGGAGTACAAACGGTTTTGAAAAATCAGGTGCTTTTAGAATGGGTGGCGTAGATAGCAAAACCTTGAGTTCATCAAAAGACTTCTGTTCTCGTTCTCTCCAGAGGACTTTGTTTGGGGCCTTCTTCTTGGTCAATTCGGTCAGTGGGTAAGAAACTTCAGAGTAGTTGTGCACGAAATCTCTGTAATAACCTGTAAGGCCCAAGAACGAGCGTACTTCTTTTTTTGTTTGTGGACGCTTCGCAGCTTGTATTTTGTCGAGCGTTTCGACCTGCAGTCGAATAACGCCTTGCCCAACGAGATGACCGAGAAATTTGACTGACTTTTGACCATTCTCACTCTTTGTTGGCCGAATGGTCAAACCAGCGTCGCGAACTCGCTTGAGAAAAGACTCAAGTATAGCTATATGTTCCGCCCAAGTTTCAGTAGCAATGAGCACATCGTCAAAGTAGTAATAAACGTGCGGTATGTCTGCTACCACTTGCCTCATGAGGCGGTTAAACACAGCTGGGGCGGTTTTAATGCCAAACGGCATGAATCTAAATTGATACAGTCCTGATTCTGTCGAAAAAGCAGTCATTGGTTTTGAGCCTTGTTCCATGGGAACCTGCCAGTAGCCTTTAGCGAAGTCAAACTTTGAAAAGTATTTTGCTTGTCCAAGTTTACCAAAGATGATGTCTACACGGGGTTTAGGCTCGTTATCATTGACTATTAATCTTGTTAAGTTGTCTGAAATCGATGCACAAACGCATCGTTCCGTCCTTCTTCTTCACAACTACTACAGGTGAATTGTAAGCAGACTCCGATGGTTCTATGATGCCTTGTCGCAGCATGTCTGCTATTTCTTTCTGTATCGCTTCTTGGGTAGCAAATGGCATAGGGTATGGCCGTATGCTTACGGGTCTATCCGTGGTCACTCTTAACTTGCACTGTACGAGGTGCGTTTTGCCAGGAACATCCGCAAATACGTTGTCGTACCTGGTCAATAAGTTGGTGACTTGCACGTGCTGGGTAGGAGAAAGTGACTCCGATATGCTTACGTCAGCAGACGATTCCTTTCGTTGGAATGGTACGCATGGTAGCTCGTCACTTTCAGTGTCATCCGCCTGGCAAACAGCTGATGCTTCATGCGGTGGTGCAGGCGGCCGTTCCTCATA